CTCGGCCTCTTCAACGACTACGAGCTCAGCAAGCCGCAGGGCCACCACAAAGCGAAGTTCTTCCTCGACGAGAAGCGCCCCGAGATATTCGCTAGCACACCACTCTGCGGGCCGTGCTCGACCATGGAGAACATCAACAAGCGCAACGAGCAGCAGAAGGATAACCTTCGCAAGAAGCGAGTCAAGGGCCACCGAATCTTCGAGAACAACAAGCGTCCGATCAAGCACCAGATTCTCGACCTGCACGGCTCGGCCCTCGCAGAACAACCTCACAATGGCCGTTCGTGGCAGAAGACCTGCTAGAGGGACCTCAACACATACTACCATATGAAGTCACTGTGGACGGCTATGCGTGTGGACTCAGAGCTCCAGATACTGGAAAGCTCATGCAGAAGCGCTGGGAGTTCCCGACGAATGACAAGAGGATCTGGGTTGCTCTCCAGCCAAAGCAGTGCAGCGGAGGCCACTATCATGAGGAGATCAAGAGCAGCCTGCGTACCGAGGCGTATGGCGCCTATCCTAAGATGCTGTGTCGCAGGATCCTCCGAACTCTGACGAAGAGCCAGAGTCCCAACGATTTCGAAGACGAGGTTGTGCGAAGCCAGTGTCTGGCTGCAACCCAGCAGCCGCCTACTGAGCAGACGACGGTGGAGGACGAGCTAGCTAGACCTCCAAAGGACGGGAAGGAAAGCCATAACCTCACCAAGGAGACGATCCAGAAGCTCGAGAGCCACGTGAACCTGGTCCACACCCACCTTCGGCACCTACCATGAGCCCACCTACTACGACATCTTCGAGACCGAGGCGCGCGCCCAGAGGTGCTTCGGTTAGCCCGAAATTTCAAGCGCGACATCTGTGATGCACACCGACCTCCGAAGAAGCGGCCCGTGCGTCATCAGCTGAGCAGCCTCAGAGCGGTCACGAAGTGTTCTTCGACGCTTTCTCGTGGATTCGACGCGGCACGAACAAGACCGCGATGGCCCTGGCGACCCTCGACGCCGGCTCCGACATGCTCTATGTGAAGCTGATCGACGAGACGAAGATTCCGGGACAGACTCGACAGGTACGTGCGGGCGAACTACGACACATGTTTTAAGAAAGAACGATATTATTTTCATGGATGGGACGCCCAAGGGTCATGCGCCACGATCCTGGCGGGAGTGCCACATCCGACGAGATCAGAGTGGATCGGGAGCCTGGGCATCAACTGTCTGCCCTGCGCCGCCGACGCCCACTGGTAGATCGGCAAGATTGAGCGTGCGATCGATGCTTTATCGATGCTTTTAAGGAGGCCTCTGACGATTTCGACGAGATGGCCCCCGCCGAGATGCCGACTACCGAGACGATTTGTTTACAGGTGGCTGCGAGGAACGACGTGATCAGGATCGACGGTTTCAGCCCGCTCCGACGGTGTGCAGGACGGGCTCCGACTGGCACCGCCGTCAACCTGTCCGACGAGCCACGCAACCTACCTCATCAGCGCCGAACTGCAGGACGGTACCTCCAGCAGAGACGCCCAGGCACGACGACCATCGACGCTGGCACGCATCCAGACGGAGAGCTCCGACCGCGCCAAGCGAGCTGAGGCAGCTAGGTTCAGGTCCTTCAAGAAGTACGAGACGGGTGACCTGGTCTTCGTATACAAGCGGCTCCCACCTGGAGCCTGGCGGAAGAAAGGACAGCCTCGCTCCATGCCAAAACGAGGTCGTTGGTGCGGACCTGGACGGGTTTTGTCACGAACCCGCGAGCTCTGGACATCGACCTGGTCTAACCGGGACAGTTGTCGACATCGCGTTAGCTGGTCGCCTCTACCGAGTAACTCCAGCACAACTTCGACCTGACACCCCGTCCGAGGAGGCGATGGGGTCTCTGCGCTCGCGTCGCGCGCAACCCAGGACGTGGACCTTCAGCGAGGTCCAGAAGCAGCTCGACACCAACGAGGTGATCGACCTTTCCAACGAGTACCCGCCGACAGGCGAGGCCCTTGCAGCGGGCGACGGCGAGTCGGTCAGCGCCCGCACCTTCATAAGCAATCCGAGCGGACCCTGGGCCATCGACGAAGACGACGATCTACCCGTTCTCCAGGGAGAACCTCAGAGCCTCGGACCGGGAGGTGGCGGAGGCGGTGGATTACCCTCGGCCCCACCTGGACTTGAAGGACCTCCTACCTGGACCGAGACCTCCGTGGAGGATGCGACGCAAGGGAAATCCTTGGCTCGACACGAGTGCTGACCCAGACCCTGCCATCCAACCAGCACCTCCAAAGGTTCCACCAAACCTTTCTCAACCTGGCGACGAAGCAACCGACATACCAAGCGGAGACGCAAAACTACCAGAAGAAGAAGTTATTATGGAGGCGCCTCCGAGTGACGATCAGAAGCATCAAGCTTCCCATCATCCGATCGACGCGCGAGGAAGGCGTCGCCGGCCCCTGCGGATGTAGAGGGGCCTCTTCGTCCACGAACTGGACCTGCTGGGCGATGTGCGCCTGTCGCTGTGGTTTGCCACCTCGGCCTCCATCGCGACCGCCCCTCTGCTTGTCCATGGGCGCAAACTTGCGCGCGCCGGGCGCGGGGCGCGCTTTTTCTCCAGTCCAGCGCCCCGTCTCGCCGCAGAGGGGGGCGGCGAGAGCGCCAGCGCTGGCCCCGCCCCAGGCGCAGAGGGTGGACGGGGCAGCGTTTGCTGGGGCGCGCACCCCCTGGAGCCGACAGAGCCGAAGCCGCGGCCGACGGAGCCGACGGAGCCGCAGCCTCGCCTGCGAGGCTGGCCGCGGCGCAACCCCCCGGGACGCAGCGGGCGCGGCTGCGGCGCTGTTCCTCTGCGCCCTGGGATGGGCTGGGAGAGCCTCGGGCAGCCGCGCCAGGCATCGCCGGCTTGCTGACGGTGCCGCGCGCGCCTTCGCCCTCTGCTGCAGGGCCCTGCGGCGGGTCCGCGTCAACCGCCGCGCCCTGCGAGGCAGGTGCGAGAGCCTGGCGCAAGCCGCGCCAATCTGTCCTGCGCGCGCTGCTCCACGACCTGTGGCAGCAGCTCCTTGCCACTTACAACTGCGCGTGAAATCCATCATGCCTCCGCGTTTATTTCCTGCGGCGGGTCCTTGAACGTCGCCGTCACTGTGTGAGGCGCCTAATTGTCCTTCGTGTGCTGGCTCCGAACCATGTCGAACTCGTAAAGCCTGATCGGGTCGCTTTGCCTTGAGCGGACGAGGCAGTTGCGCTCCTGCTCGTGGTTGCCGATGTTACCCTGCAGGGGTTTCGACGTGTTCCAGTCGACGCGCCTCACACCCCAAATTCTCTCGAGTTTCAAACAAATCCTCGCCCGTCATCGCGCAAGCGGGGCTGAGTTCTGCGAGCCACGCGCGCGGGTTCGCGTTGTACGAGTAGCGTTGCTTCACCAGGCGTGAGCCATGGTATGGCGCGGCGCTGGCAGAGCTTGGCGCCGTGACTTGGCGCGGCCCACTCTCCGGCGACATGCTGTTGCGGCGTCGATGGTGGCAGCCCTCTACAGGGCGAAAAAGTTTGAGTACAATTGTCGTCGGGATCCTGATGGCGATGATGGTGCTAATGGCGTCTGTGCATCCATCCATCTGGGACAACCATCGGGGCACCTATCGGGACAACCATCGGGACAACCATCGGGAAAATCATCGGGACAACCATCGGGACAACCATCAGGACAACCATCGGGACACCCATCGGGACAACCATCGGGACAACCATCGGGGCAACCATCGGGACAACAATCGGGACACCCATCGAGACAACCATCGGGAGAACAATCGGGAGAACCATCGGGAGAACCATCGGGACAACCATCGGGGCAACCATCGGGACAACCATCGGGACACCCATCGGGACACCCATCTGGCCAACCATTGAAACAACCATCGGGACAACCCGCGGGACAACCATCGGGGGCCGCGCATGGCCGGGGGGGGGGCGTGCGACCTTTTGGGCTCCATGTGGCTGGCCTCTACAAATGCAGGAACTCGCGCTGCTTCGCCTCGCCCGCACGCGCGACACTAACCAAAACCGAAACCGATTTCCCGGTTGGGGTCACTTCCGCTCAAATCCCCCAAGATCTCTGATAACTGCCTCACAATTGTTCTATTTCGCGCGCGCGGGGCGGCCCCGGACGCAAAGTACCTCGGCCAGGTTCCCCGCAGGGTCCGGCCAAAAATGGTTTTCATCCTGGGCGCGGCGTTCAGGCGCCCCAGAGCGATCCAAGAGGGCCCCAAGAGGCGCCCAACACGGTCCAAGAGGGCTCCGAATAGTCGAACGATCGGCACCGCATTGACAATAACACCCCGACAAACAACAGCGGTGAGGCAATACGGGCTGGCGGAATGAGCGAAGCGATTAAATAATCAACGTATGCACATCTATTCACTCAGGGGTTATGAGGGGAACTGGGCCTGTGCGTCGGTCTAGTGGCTATGTTGCCGCCAGCGCCACCCGGTCGCCGCCTCGTCGCCGGCCATCGTCTGGGCAGATGCGTCAGTCTGACAGCTATGATGCCGTCGTCACAACACAGAATGCACCACATAGATTGTGCCCCATGTGTTGCACCACAGCGATTGCACCACATATATTGCGCCCCATGTGTTGCACCACAGCGATTGGACCACATAGAGCGCACCACATAGATTGCACCGGGAACATGGCTCTCTCTCTAGATATGTATGTATGTATGTATGTATGTATATATATATATATATATATATATATATATATTGCAACACATACACGACAGAACATGCATCGCACCACATATAGTGCACAGCAATGATTGCTCCACATGGATTGCACAATATCGATTATGGACCATGTATTGCACAACCTGGCTTGCACCATTGGATTACATCACGAAGATTGACCCACATTGATCACATGCAAAAAAACACTCTTTGGGGTCCACGCAGGCTGTACGTAGAACGACAAACGTGCATGTAGACATACGAGAAGCACTCTTTGTGCATCTTCCAGAAAGAGGGGGCCCGCGGCCTTACGGAGCTGCTCGCGCAGTGACTCCGTCTCCTCCCGCAACGCGCCCATCGCGGGGCCCTCCAGGGCCACCAGACGCGCCTCCTGCTGGTGCAGCGCCTCGGCCATGAGGGGGTGAAAGCATTCAGGGGCACTCAAATTAATGATAGGCGAAGCCCCGCCACTTGGCGACAGAAAGTAAAAGGGCCCAGCAGGGTGCAAAGGGCGGAGGATGAGGGGGTGGTTCCTCCCCCTCTCGCCTTCCCTCCCGTTTCCTCGTCATCTCCGTTTCTTTCTCCTCGTCCTTTCTCACTCCTCCACCCTTTTCCCCCTTTCCCGCCCCCCCGCCTCTATTCGCGGCCCCACTCCCTCCTCGAAAGGAGTGGCGGGGGGCCGAAGTGCAGGGAGAGGAGCTGAGACGAGGAGAGGAGAAGGAGGAGGAGGAGGACGAGGAGGAGGAGGAGGAGCAGGAGCAGCAACGGGGGAGGAGGAGGGTTGGGAGTGGGGGGCATCGGGGCGGACGACAGGAGAGGGCAGCCAAAGGAGATGTAATGAACCAGCTCACGTGGCTGAAGTCCGAGGGGTCCTCTGGCCCAAGGAGGCGACACGCATCAAGGAAAGCCGATAGCGAGGCCGACACCAACTGCATGAAACCAACATCGCACACACACACACACACACACACACACACACACACACACACACACACACACACACACACACACACACACACACACACGCGCACACGCACACGCACACGCACCTTTCTCGATGATTCCCTTCGTCCGACCGAAGAAGGCGGGGCTGGTGACGAGGGCCTCATCTAGCCCCCACGAAATTCACACGCCCCCCTGATGTGTTCGGAAGGGTCCGACGGGCGGGAACGGAGGAGAGGAAAAGGATAACTGTCTGGGAAGCTATTCCCCCGAGGCCCCTTACGCCGCACGCGGCAATTCGAGAGGCCCCCAAGACGCCTGGTCGGGGCCCCCCAAGACGCGCCAAGAATCATTGCAGAGCCGCCTCCTGTCCTTCACCCGTTCTTTTCCCCCCGTATCCCCGATTTCCCCATACACGGTACTGCGATGTGAGCACGAACGCGGGGTGGCCAACTTCCGACGCGGGGAAAGCGCTGCGCTGGCGCGGTGGCAAAACTTGCCGCAGCTACCTGAACATGCTCCGCCTTGCCCTCATCATGCGGTTCATTCCCCCCTCCCCCCTCCCCACCCTCCCCATGCCGCTCCTGCCTTGGAACTGCACATGCCTCATGCATCATCCTTCTCCCCCTCCCTCCAGACCATCCTCCAAACCACCCATTCCCCCCCCCACCCACCCACCCACTCCCCCCCCCCCCTCCCCCCCCCACCTCCTCCCCCCCACCACCCCACGCATACACACACACACACACACACACACGCACACACACACACACCACACACACACACGCGCACACGCACACATTTGCGTCGGCGGCGGCTGGGCAGAGGGACTGCTCCGGCGATGTGGCATTAGTGGGACACTCAAACTGCGAATCAAGCCGCAGTGCGCGGGAGGGGGAGACAGGAAACCCGGCGCGGGCGGGAGGGGGAAGAAGCCGGGCCCGCTCAGAGCAGGGCCAGGCGGCGGCGGGGCAGGCGCCGGGGAGCCAGCGGCGGCGACGAGGCAGCAGCTACTGACACGCTTACAAAAAGACAGGCACACACACAGTTTCACAGATGCATACACACAACGCCTATGAAAAGAAACGGCGGACTCCCAGAACCGCCGCGTCCAGACACCAGCGAATCACAAGACAGCTCGCCGCTTGGGCCCCACCGCCAACTCAAACGGCGAGCAAAAATCGGGCGTAGCCCCGCACGCATTCGAATGCCCACATTTCGTCATCGTACCACTGGTATTCCTCCCCGTACTCCTCCCCATCCTGATCGTCGTCGTCGTCCTCCCCCTCGTATTCCTCATCCTCCTCATTTTCCTCGTCTTCCCTCCTGCTCCAGCTCCTCCTCGTCGTCCTCGTCTAAGACGTCGTCCTCATTTGTCCTCTTCCTTCTCCTGCTCATCCTCCTTCTCCTGGCACCTCGGTCCTCGACGCCCTCGCTGGCCCGTTTGCGGTTTTCTCTGGGGCTCGCGGCAGAGGCCATAGATTGCGCCCTAGGTTGCGCAATGGGTTGCGCCACAAGTTGCGCCCTAACCGGCGGTTGCGCCATAGATTGCGCCCTCGGCGGCCGAAAATAAAGCCGTCTCCCATCGGTTGCGCCATAGGTTGCGCCTTCGGCCGCCGAGAATAAAACCGTCTCCCATCGGTTGCACCATAGGTTGCGCCCTCGGCGGCCGAGCATAAAACCGCCTACTATCGGTTGCGCCATGGGTTGCGCCCTCGGCGTCCGAGACTAAATCCGTCTCCGATCGGTTGCGCCATACATTGCACCTTCGGCGGCCGAGAATAAAACCGTTTCCTATCGGTTGCGCCATTGGTTGCGCCTTCGGCCGCCGAGAATGAAACAGTCTCCTATTGGTTGAACCATAAAATGCGCCCTCAGCGGCCGATAAAAAAACCGTCTCCTATCGGTTGCGCCATGGATTGCGCACTCGGCGGCTGAGAAAAAAAACCGTTCCCGATCGATTGCGCCGTGAATTGCGCCTTCGGCGGCCGAGAAGGAAACCGCTTCCTACTGGTTGAGTCATAGCTTACGCCCTCGGCGGCCGAGAATAAAACAAAAAAACAAAAACCGTCTCCTGTCGGTTGCGACATAGATTGAGCCCTCGGCCGCCGCGAATAAAGCCATGTCCAATCGGTTGCGCAATACATTGCGCCGCGGCCGAGAATAAAACCGTCTCCTCTCGGTTGCGCCATACATTGCGCCCTCGGCGGCCGAGAATCAAACCGTCTCCGATCGGTTGCGCCATAAACTGCGCCCTCGGCGGCCGACAATAAAACCCGTCTCCGATCGGTTGCGGCATGGGTTGCGCCCTCGGCGGCCGAGAATAAAATCGTTTCCTATCGGTTGCGTCATACATTGCGCCCTCGGCGGCGGAAAATACAACCGTCTCCTATCAGTTGCGCCATAGGTTGCGCCCTCGGCGGCCGAGCATAAACCGCCTCCGATCGGTTGCGCCATACATTGCGCCCTCGGCGGCCGAGAATCAAACCGTCTCCTATCGGTTGCGCCATTGGTTGCGCCCTCGGCCGCCGAGAATGAAACAGTCTCCTATTGGTTGAACCATAAAATGCGCTCTCGGCGGCCGATAAACAAAACCGTCTCCTATCGGTTGCGCCATGGATTGCGCACTCGGCGGCTGCGAAAAAAAAAACCGTTCCCGATCGATTGCGCCGTGAATTGCGCCTTCGGCGGCCGAGAATGAAACCGCTTCCTACTGGTTGAGTCATAACTTACGCCCTTGGTGGCCGAGAATAAAACAAAAAAACAAAAACCGTCTCCTGTCGGTTGCGACATAGATTGAGCCCTCGGCCGCCGCGAATAAAGCCATGTCCAATCGGTTGCGCAATACATTGCGCCCTCCGCGGCCGAGAATAAAACCGTCTCCTCTCGGTTGCGCCATACATTGCGCCCTCGGCGGCCGAGAATCAAACCGTCTCCGATCGGTTGCGCCATAAACTGCGCCCTCGGCGGCCGACAATAAAACCGTCTCCGATCGGTTGCGGCATGGGTTGCGCCCTCGGCGGCCGAGAATAAAATCGTTTCCTATCGGTTGCGTCATACATTGCGCCCTCGGCGGCGGAAAATACAACCGTCTCCTATCAATTGCGCCATAGGTTGCGCCCTCGGCGGCCGAGCATAAACCGCCTCCGATCGGTTGCGCCATACATTGCGCCCTCGGCGGCCGAGAATCAAACCGTCTCCTATCGGTTGCGCCATGGGTTGCGCCCTCGGCGGCCGAGAATGAAGCCGCCTCCTGTCGGCGGCCAAGAATAAAACCGCCCCCCATCAATTGCGCCATAGGTTGCGCCCTCGGCGGCCGAGAATCAAACCGTCTCCTCTCGGTTGCGCCATAGCCTGCGCCCTTGGCAGAAAAAAAAAACGTCTCCGATCGGTTGCCGCCATGGGTTGCGCCCTCGGCGGCCGAGAATAAATCCGTCTCTTATCGGTTGCGCCATGGGTTGCGCCCTGGGCGTCCGAGACTAAATCCGTCTCCGATCGGTTGCGCCATACATTGCGCCCTCGGTGGCCGAGAATAAAACCGTTTCCTATCGGTTGCGCCATTGGTTGCGCCTTCGGCCGCCGAGAATGAAACAGTCTCCTACTGGTTGAACCATAAAATGCGCCCTCGGCAGCCGAAAAAAAAAACGTCTTCTATCGGTTGCGCCATGGATTGCGCACTCGGCGGCTGAGAATAAAACAAAAAAACAAAAACCGTCTCCTGTCGGTTGCGACATAGGTTGAGCCCTCGGCCGCCGCGAATAAAGCCGTGTCCAATCGGTTGCGCAATACATTGCGCCCTCGGCGGCCGAGAATAAAACCGTTTCTTATCGGTTGCGCCATAGATTGCGCCCTCGGCGGCCGAGAATGAAACAATCTCCCATCGGTTGCGCCTTGGGTTGGGCCCTCGGTGGCCGAGAATAAAACCGTGTCCAATCGGTTGCGCCATACATTGGGCCCTCGGTGGCCGAGAATAAAACCGTGTCCAATCGGTTGCGCCATACATTGGGCCCTCGGCGGCCGAGAATAAAACCGTCTCAGATCGGTTGCGCCACAAATTGCGCCCTCGGCGGCCGAGAATAAAACTCTGGGTTGCGCCCTTGGCGGCCGAGACTAAATCCGTCTCCTATCGGTTGAGCCATGGGTTGCGCCCTCCTCGGCCGAGAATTTGTTCTTGTTTCTCCTCCGGCGGCAAGGCGCAACTGTCTCCTATCGGTTGCGCCATAGATTGCGCCCTCGGCGGCCGAGAATAAAACCGTGGCGTGACGGGTGCACCATAGGTTGCGCCCTCGGCAGCTCACTTCTGTTCTGTTCAATGCGGTTCAGTTTAGTTCTGTTCAGTGCTCTAACTCGCGAGAAATCCGGCCTACGCCCGAAAACAAAACATCCGAAAACACCTCCTCCTCCTCCTCCTCGTCCTCCTCCTCCTCGTCCTCCTCCTCCTCCTCCTCCTCCACCTCCTCCCCC